TTTCTTTCTTTCTTTCTTTCTTTCTTTTTTTTTTTTTTTTTTGAGGCAGAGTCTCTGTCACCAAGTCTGGAGTGCAGTGATGTGATCATAGCTCACTATAACCTTGAACTCCTGGGCTCAAGGGATTATCCTGCCTCAGCCTCACAAGTACCCAAGGAGGTAACCACATTACAGGTGTGCGCCATCAAATGTGGCTAAATTTTTTATTTTTTTTTGAAGAGCCAGTTCTCCATGCTCTGTTACCCTAGCTGGTCTTGAACTCCTGGTTTCAAGTAATCTTCCTGTTTCAGCCTTTCATAGTGCTGGGATTACAGACGTGAGTCCTTGTTCCCAGCCTTCTTTTCAATTTATGATTATTGTTTTTAAGAAGGTAAAAACAGGTGGCGTCTGTGGCTCAAAGGAGTAGGGCACTGGTCCCATATGCCAGAGGTGGCGGGTTCAAACCCAACCCCAGCCAAAAACTGCAAATAAAATAAAATAAAAAGAAATAAAATTCCTTAAAAAAAAAAAAAAGAAGGTAAAAACAAGGCGGCACCTGTGGCTCAGTGAGTAGGGCGCCAGCCCCATATACCAAGGGTAGAGGGTTCGAACTTGGCCCCAGTCAAATTGCAACAAAAATACAGCCGGGCGTTGTGGCGGGTGCCTGTAGTCCCAGCTACTTGGGAGGCCAAGGCAAAAGAATTGCCTATGTCCAGGAGCTGGAGGTTGCTGTGAACTGTGATACCAGGGCACTCTACCAAGGGTGACAAAGTGAGACTCTGTCTCTTAAAAAAAAAAGAAGAAGGCAAAAACAAGGCTGAGCATGGTAGCTCACACCTGTAATCCTAAGCACTCTGGAAGGCTGAGGCAGATGGATTGCATGAGCTCATAGGTTTGAGACCAGCCTGAGCTCTAAAAAATAGCCAGAGCTTGGCACCCGTAACACAGTGGTTATGGCTTCAGCCAGTACACTGAGGTTGGCAGGTTCGAACCCGGCCCAGGCCAGCTAAACAACAATGACAACTCCAACAACAACAATAAAATAGCCAGGCATTGTGTCTGGCACCTCCCAGCTACTTGGGAGGCAGAGGCAAGAGAATCACTTAAGTCCAAGAGTTTGAGGTTGCTGTGAGCTGTGACAACATGGCACCCTACCCAGGGCAACATAGTGAGACTCTGTCTCAATAAATAGGCTCAGTGCCTGTGGCTCAAGCGGCTAAGGCGCCAGCCACATACACATAAGGTGGCAGGTTCGAATCCAGCCTGGGCCCACCGAACAGCAATAATGGCTGCAACCAAAAAATAGCTGGGCGTTGTGGCAGGCGCCTGTGGTCCCAGCTACTTGGGAGGCTGAGGCAGGAGACTCACTTGAGCCCAGGAGTCGGAGGTTGCTGTG